ATTCGTGGAACCCGTCTGCCGCTCTTTCTTGTAAATAGCAATCATTTTAAAAAATCAAAACTTTAAACAAATTTTTGGAACTTGCTCACAGATTTCCTGTTGGAAACATCTGTCAAGCACCAAACAAAAATCTGAGTTCACATTCTGGATTCTGGTTTTTATCAAATCCTAAACGAAAAACGAAGTTTTCGAAATTTCGTGACTTATTTACTAAATCCAAGATGAAGGATCCGACGCACGGTCGTTGGTCCAAGCCAGTTTCCCTTTACCGCGAAATTCCAATAAATGAATGGCATTACGTAGCGCTTGAGCAAGAACGATATGTAGCGGGGCTTCGACTGATCCAAAGGCATCGTTTCGAGCGGCCCCTCCGGTGTAAATTCCGCTAGCACCACTCTGTTGAAGCTAACAACCAGCGGGCATGATGAATAACCGTTGTACTGAAAAGCCATGAGATTTACTTCCAGTCGAATTTACCATCTCTTCCTTGTACTTAATTTTTTGCAACGCTGTTCAGCAAATCGCTATTAGGCAAGCCTATTGTGCAACCCATGCATGAAGCTGGCAATAATCGGGTATGTCATGTGAGTTTAAAGATTTATACACAAGTTTGGCATGTAAAAAAACTGCAAGACTCCAACTGTTCATATTTGCACGCAGAGGTGGTTGCATAATGGTTAACGTACCAATTTTTGATCGAAGAGATCCGGATTTGAGAAGTCAATTCCCTAGTGGTCCATGTCCTTGCAAAAGTAGGATATGTTCGAGACAATTCCGAAACAACACCTTCGAAAATTATAATTTTGGGATTACTTTTGCTTGGTCATGCATAACAATCATCCAAAAGTTCAAAAGAACTAATTTTAGAAAGGTTTAAATTCTTGCATTCCAGGATTCTTGATTACTATGATGTTGGAATGTAATTCTGTTCTTATATTTTGTACACTCAAATTCAGTATATCACATTTCTACTTCTTGAGGTTTTGTACAAATAAACACAAGCTGAAAATATATATCATAATATACACTCCAGAACAAAGTATCCTATTTTTTTCTGACTAACACAGACACAACGAATTGGCAAATGCGCTGGTGCTGTGCTAAAGGTAGAGTTCAACTCCGTTGGAAGGTCAGTCAGTCATTCTATGATCCGTTCATTCTTTCAATGGTAAACTGACACTGATATGTGTCGGCAGTCAAAATCATCATTAGCTTGCTTCTAAGCAACTCTCGAAAGAGGAAGACTCTGACAGCCTTGTCAGCTGTGGCTGCTACTGGTACTTGCACCAGTCGGCAATCTTTCTCCTCCCTCAAAGAATGTATGCCGAGACAAGTCGAAACTTAATTTGAACAATCACGTCAAAACGAGATTTTAATAAGATGGACGCTATGCACTTTTTTACTCCTTATCTCTCATGTACTGATCAACATCCCTTGAGCAACGTTTCACTTTGGCCCTGGCCATCAAAAATAACGCGGTTTTGCGGCATTCTACGAAAAATTACCGAATTATAAACTCTATAAAAACCTCCTCCCCTCTCCCCTCTCCCCCGCAAAGTTTATGAATTTTGCAGTGTGAACATCATCATCTGAAATGTTGATGTAAAACCCATGATGCAACTGAAATCCAGCAATCAGTGACGTATAGCAGTAAATTACCGTCTCTAACATTGACTTCTTTTTCAGAAACC